CAAATCAATATGTCGTAAGCTCGGCGGACCCGAAATTTCTCCCAAGCGATCCAAACATCCACCTCCAGCACCTGCAGCAACCCTGCATAGATCGTCCTCGATATCGTCACTCACAAAATCTACATCAGCGAGGCCATTTACGAAACGGACTCTCGAGAGAGTTCTTAGCGAAGACCACCAACTCCACCGGCACGGCTCGCCGCCGACTACCTTCTCCCGCGGTCCCTCTGTAACAGCTTCCATGACGCAGAATCCTATAATCCCAACCTTAAAGCGCGAGCCTTCTGAGAGGCCCGTCTCTCGTGGGGGCAACCTCTCAAAATCGGTATCATTCAGTAATCGCGAAATTGATCTTGCTGCGGATCAAAGGGCGCATGATCTTAAGCGGCGCAAGCTCGATCGGTTGGCTCAGCAGAAGAAGGAGTTGGAGGCTGCAATTGATGCGCTTAAGAAGCCCGATCGCAGGACCGTGGCAGGACTCTTCATGGACGAAGTAGAGGACAGGAAGAGTAGGGAGAAGGAGAGGAAGCCAGCAATCCAGATATCTGCAACGCCAAGGGCGAGGCGAACCCAAGATTTCATGCAGGAGCCAGAATTGCCGCTACAACCAAAAGTGACGGTTCAGGAACAAGATACAGGGGCGATAATTCCGTCGTCAACAGTCAAGCCTCGGCTGGTACGTCCTGGGATACCGAGTTCGACTAGCACCACTAGATTGTCAGCGACCAAACGAGCAGTCCTTGCAGCCATTCATGAGACGCCATCACGTGGGATCGACAAGAAAACTTCGAATCCGCTGAACTTGCCAACTCTTTACCCCCTTCAGGCTGGGCCAGGAGAGCTGTCCACGATAGCATCAACTCCGGCATCCAAACGAACAAACCATGGTGGAGAAAGGGTGCCTTTGTCTGACCCTGATCCGCCTTCTGGATCCTCGCAGGTTGGACGTTCTGAGGGGACGAACAGTGCGCAAAGCCTGCGCATGACTCGGTCCCAGCGCCCAGTTCTGTTTACGCCGGTGAAGAGGAGTGATGTGCCGCTCGACCATGTATTCCGCGACGCACCAGAGATTCCTGAGCAAGCCGGACAGATGATGGATCGAGTCATGGGTGGTAAGGGACGTGGGATGATGGATGACAGCTTTCGGTGGACTCAAAGTCCTGATGATACGAGGACGCCTAGAGGAGGGACTTCTGAGAAAGCACGCCCCGCCACTGATGAGGTTGAGGAGGGTGACATTTACGACAAATTGGGTTGGAATGATGACTTTGACCTGTGACGATATCCCAGCGGCTATTACATAGATTTGTTAGAGCGAACATAGATGCGTCGAGGATTGATGAATTCCTGAGCCACAATGAGTACCAGTACTTGTATACCAGCGAAGATGATCTCTACTTTGCGAGCGGCTAATCAGAACGGGACGGACAACAAAGTTTTGCATTCGATCACGACTACAAGTCTGGACTGTTCTACTCGTAAAATCGAACAAGTAAGCATGGGTGTCAATCTTCATCATATTATTGGAGTGAGTTTGTGCCATGCTGTAGGACATGCCGGTGGCGACATCATCCGATCCTGCGCCTCGCCGAGGCAGAGAGAAGGTTTACTACTTGTAACATCACAATATGGCCACAATCCCCCAACTCCAAGAACAAGTACAAATGCAGATATCGCATCTGCTCTGGACAAAAGGCCGAGTGGGGGCTGCCATTTGACTGACACATGTCAAGTTCCAGATGACCATGGCCACAATCCTTCGCACGGAGAATCGGCGGATAGACTCCAAGCTGATGCCCAACGCGTTATTATTGTCGCAGCGAAATGGAGCCCATGTGCTCTCCAATTCCGTCTCAGCCTCGCGCAACCCCCTTGTGCCCCGAGGCTTTACCCCAACGGGCCACCACCAGGGCGTCTACTAGGTACAGGGAGTTGCGTCATTTGGGACTCGTTGTTCGCAAGGAGGGAGTTGAACTTCAGGCGTCGTGTTCCAACAGGCCTATACTTGTTGTCCTTGTGTTGGATGTATACTTCTCCCAGAAAGATGGATAACTCCCGGACTTCCAGAGTGGATGTTTCATGTTATTGTGTAACCCATCTTTTTGGCGTCGTCTTGTAGACAACCTCATTTCCCGCCAGAATGTTCGGCGCAGGGCGAGAGCGCTCTCGGTGGGGACCTTGGGCACCCTTGGGTACCTCGAATGTTCCGCGGGGCATGTCAAATGGCGATCAGATACCTCTTGGTACCTGCTTTTGCGCGCAGTCCAGGCGCCGAAGACGGCGATGAGGGCTTGAGTCCGAATCACGGCCGAAGGTCGGAACAAGGCTGCAGAAATGGCTCGACATGGCATCCACATGGCGCGACAACGCCAAACCCCATGCGGCAAGAACTGCATCTCACTTCTCACCTTCACAAACCGATAACGCTGCCACCGGAACGAATCAAGGTCACACTGCCTCACCGGGCAGAAGAGGCAGGAAAGAAAACGACATGACTCGGAGATTCTCTACGTGTAAGTTCTGCACTTTTTTTTTGCCGCCTCCGATCAATCTCTAGCGTCGAGGCTGGGCATCTTGTCTCGTGACTCGCCGAAGCAAGAAAACAAGAACGAGACCCTCTGCTCTTGCCATTTTGATTTTCCTTTCCTTTCTTCACCTTTTCTGTTACTTTCTCGAGTTTCAAACTTCGACTGTCCTTATCCTCCAGCCACTTGAAGACCTAGCAGGCCTCCAAAGGGGGAAGAAACGCTGTCAATCATTCCAACCATTCAATCACTTTCCTAGTCTGTCTGAGAGTACGTCAAGTGTGTCTCGCTCACAAGACTTTTTGGACGCTTGGTTTACCCTGTTTATAAACTCCTCGGGAGCAGCGTGGGATTCAAGTGAGTGCCCTCACGACCTACCCTCAGTCGGACACACGTCTAACCATACCGCCACCAAACAGTATAACCCAGAAAAAAAAAGAGATACCCCTCTATTTTTCCCTTCATCGAGATTGACTACTGTGGTTCCCCCCCGCGCACCACTATCCAACCATGATTTTCACGCGCGGTGTCTCCCTGACGAATTTCGTCATTGCCAGTTCGGCCCTGGCCTTCCAGGTCTTTGTTCTCTACCCGTGGCACGAACGGCTAGACGAGGAATTTCGACGCCTGAAGCAGGAGCACATCAACATTCTTCACCAGGGCGAAGAGGTCCGACTCGGCGAACTGAAAGGAATCAACGAACAACTCAAGAAACTAGGCCACGGCCAGAAATAATGACTTGACATCTGACAACACAACAAGAAGGGGAGCCATGCAATGTGAATTTTTTTTATTTTTACAAAATACACCCGGGAGTTTTGGGGGAACTTGCAGCATTAGAGCGGAGTTTTACTTGACGATTTCTATGTGTGTTATGTGGCCGCGATGCGGGGGGTCCATCATCGTCACCATGGTGGTTTTCCCTTTTCTTCTTCTTTCTTTTTCTTCCGGCTACTTAGAATCTATACACATAGACACTCCTAGACGGCAGACCAGCAGACAGGCAGAAAAGGCAACAACAGACAGGGGGACTATTTTGCTCTACAAGAACGAGAACAAGTAGAATAGAAATCCAGCGGGAAGGGAAAGAGGGAAGGGAAAGAGTTTTCTTCCTCTTCCTCTTGTTCTTCCTTTTTCTGATAACTGAGATCTGATAACTGAGAATTGAGAACCGTGCTGTCCTCACCAAGAAAAAAAATATCTCTTTTTTCCTTTCTTTCTTCCAACCAACCATCCAGCACAGATGATACGACATGACATAACTTGACATGAACATGGGTGAAAGGGAATTCTCGGTGCAAAGAGAACCGGGAGCGAGGTCGGATCGATTCAGCTCAGCTCAGCCAGGGTGCGAGAGTGCGAGCGAGGTTGACTCGACTCGACTTTCGATGTGCAATGTGCCATGTGCGTGTGCGTGTGCCACCCTCTACCAGTATCGGATTTACCGAGCATGTGCCTCGGCGTTGCGCGATATAGACGGGGGAGGAGACGGGAACGGAGATGGACATGGACATGGTCCTTGGTCATTCCTTGGTCATTCCTTGGGTTCACTGGGTTTCTTCAAGGGCGCCTTGCGGTGACAATGTACAAGTAAGTGACAGGGATGTAGATAATATTGTATTATGTATCTGTACCGATAACTCGGGGTGAGTACGGAGTACTCGTAGATAAGATAAGCGCCCCCTCTGTTCATGTACCCTGCCCTACCTTGCCCTACCTTGCCCTGCCACCCTGTCCATGTATGTACATATCTATGTATGTACCTATGTACTCGGTACTTGGCATGTAGTTAGGTAGCGGGTACATACTCGGTAGTTACATATGTAGGCGATAGGTAGCGTGGTAGTGTGGTTGTGTGGGTGGTGCGTGGGTAGGTAGCTGGCAGGGCTGGGTAGTCAGGCAGCCCCGCACTGATTCTCCGAATCGAGGCCCTCCCTCCCATCTTAATCTTATCATGCACATCTGTCCCTCGTGCACATACAGTGACATGCTCGACTCTCCTGTCCACCTACCTACCGTAGTTAAGATTACGTAGGTACAGTGTACGGGTATCTGATCAACTGTGAAGACTCTGCATTTGTGTCAAAGACATTACGTTACATGTACAAGTTTCGACGGAGCGGGGAGCGGGGAGCGTGGAACGAGTAACAAGATAAAAAGCATCCCACTCAGTCAACCCATTTCTATCGCGTGCAGACTAGGTAGGACAAACCCCCAATTGGGAATGCTCGGGGGAAGCCATGGAATACAGAGTGAGCAAGGACAAAGAATGCATAAACAAAGACGTACACATGCACATGCACATGCCTCTCTCGAGGATAGTATTCGAGAGCTTTTCTGTGCCAATGCGCTCGAGAAGACCCCGGCATATTGTCTAGGAGTCGGATCTTGTCCACCCTCAAATATGGTATCAATCCCTGATTCAATATGTCCAGCACATATTCCCTCTCTCCCTGTGCATATATCTCCAAACAGCTACAATGCCGGATCCACATTCATCAAATCATCACTCATGATATGCAGCACCTGCGTAAACGTCCGTAACCTCCTCCCACTGATCCCGTCCATCAGGTTTGCAAAGTCCAACAATACCCTCCTGGCACCCTCGTAGCCACCACTGTGTGCTACCCCACCTAGAGACAAGGCGCCGCCATATTTGACAAACTGATACACCAAACTGAAATGTTCGTCCTCGCGGTTCGTGGTGAGATTTCGTTCGGCCGTTGCAGGGTCCAGGCTTTCGTCTTTGAACCCCATATCACCCAGCTCAGCCCAGTCGGGTTCTGCGTCCATAAGCTCAACGGGCGCTGTGCCCTGTCGACCCGAGCTCGGGTTGACCATGAAGAGATAGAGACCGAGGACGAGTGCCGACGCGAAGAGCGCTGTTACGCTATGGATGGTCACATTGTCGCTGACCCGGCGTTCAGACATGAGTTTGAAGTTCTGCGCTGCGTGAACACAGGCTCTGCGCGCCGCCTGAGTTTGGCTCCATTGCGAGATATTCTCCAATGCGCCCGTCGCAGGAGCAGCTCCTTGTCGACCGGCCGCCAACTCAAACATGCGAAAGTCCGCCAAGAGCATGACACAGAGACTGTGCCAGAGGACAACGCAATTCGTGTCGTCAACTTGCGAAAGCGGGCCTGCCGTGTGTGTAGCCGCGAGGACTGCCGGTACGAGTGTGCTGGCGCGTGCATCACCTGCATAGACATGCCAGGGGATGTATGACCCAATGGTCAACTGATCCGGCGGCATGAGCCGTTGATAAGCTTCCAGAACTTGGATCTGCAGTAATGCAAGTAGTGAAGATCGCCCCAGATATCCTAGCTTGGCAATTGGTGCCATATCATGCTTATGGAGGTCCTCAATCCTGAATGTTGGCGCACTTTGGCTCTTTCCGCTGCGCAACAGAGATTGCCATTGGGTGGCGGACTGAGCCTGGAAGAGCGCTTCGTCGCAGGGCGCCACAACACACACGGATTCCGATCTCACAATCGGCGCCTTTGACAACAAGTTCGCGAACCACGAATCACACAGCAGCAGTCCCAGAATCAGACGCTTCGCCGACTCTATTCGGCTCCACGCTTTCCAACGATCGTCTGATTCCGACATTTCGGACAGCAGAGCATCCAAAGACTGCCCATCACCGGCCGCGAACAATCCGTTCTGTTGAACCATAGCCAACAGGCTGACATAAAGCATCTGGCTCTGGTTGACGCAATCTTTATCCCCAGTGATAACAGAGAGATTCAACGTCAGCAGACCTGTCGCAAACAGGACCATTTGCTGCGTCGGTGTTGCGGAACATCCTGCACAGGCTGATAAATCATTACAAACGCGTTGTAAAAAGCTGGGGAACATCTTCGACACAAATCTGGTAGCGCCGGTAGTTCCCAGAATACTCAAACCAATAAGACATATGGCGAATAGCATGGGGGCAGGGGTAGTGCGAACGGAAAACGTCGCAACGTGAATAAATGGGACAGTGGGATGAAATCGGCGGAAAAAAAGGCCTAACGCAATATCGAGGATTTCGGCAGGAGGGAATTCTTCGTTCGTTGGTTGTGAAGAGAGAGCTGGATCCACAACTGCTTGCAGTTTGGGAGAGTGGTATGTCGACGGGGCAGGAGTGCGAAAGGTATCTCTGAGTCGAACTCGACATTCAGTGTCGAGACCCCAGTTTGACGCGGTCCGAAAATCATCTGCAATAGGCGACTCTGAGAAGAGATTGTCCATTGGTGATGTAGCGACTTCTCTCCAGAGAACTGGCATGATACGATGCACGCGGCCTGGACGCGGGTTCCAACACCGCTGGACTCTAGAGAAGCGTTCCCGTGGGACCTTGGCGATATTTTTCGTCCTGTCCACAGGGTCGTAAGGCTTACCGTTGACCAAATCTTTTGAGTCCTGGTATGGCTGCTGAGGGTCAGGGATGCCATACGTTTGCAGGAAGTCGGGAGATTGATCCAAGTCACCCAGCGAAGGAAACAACCACATCTGGAAAGGATCGTGAAAGTTGCTGGTGCTGGAATTGTCCGGTTGAGGAAGCCAGTCAATGCGGCTGTCCGAATATTGGTTGGGCACGATCTCGGATCTGGGAGTCTGTCCAGGATTATGAGGGCTGGTCGCCGAAGTTTCAAAGGCCGACACTTCGCCGCTGTTCTGCGATGGAGAATGTTTCTGACCGTGCGAGGAACTGGACGTCTTGTTGTTCACGGTGGCGATGGGGGAAGGCATCGTCCATGCCGACCCAGGGAGCTGGATGTTAAGAGCATTTCCGGGATTCGACGAGGAATCGAGAAAAGGGTTAGAGACATCTATCGAAGATTGTCTGGGAGGTTGAGAGGGATCATTCCCCGTCTGAGAGAGATAGTTGCTGGGGGAGAGAATCTGCATCAAAGGGATACCCGTATGGGGTCCGCTGGCGAGAGTGCCAGGAGAGTTGAGGTTGAATTCATCCTGAGAAGGCTGAGGTGGGACGCCTTCTGAGATGGTGTTCCTCCGTGATGAAGCATTGGCAGGAGCTGATTTGTCGTTCTTTTGGGCGTGGCATTTCATATGCCGGAACAAGACATCGCTAGACCATGGTTAGCACGACGTCCAACCACAAATAGGAGCTTGAAGGGAGCACGAACCTGCGAGAGAAAGCCTTGTCACAGATAGTACATGGATAGGGACGTTCCCGCGTATCTAGAAATGCATGAGTAAAAGGCTAGCGCGGGGTAGGCGGGATTTGACATACGAGAGCGCTCATGGCGCTTGAAGTGTTCAGTCTTTGTGAAACGACGACCACATACGGTACACTGTCGCAAGACCATGATTTGGGCAAATGTGGAGGGGGACCTGGAGCGAGGATGTGGGAGAGGTGTTGAATTGGGAAAAGAATGTGGGAGCGGTGGAGGGAAGGAAGGTAATTGAGGTTGAGACTCTGTAATGGTTGAGCAGACGACTAGTCAAAATAGCCTGGAGATCTGGGAGCGTTCGTCCTTCAAGCCCAGGGTCTAGTTTTGAGCACTCTACTTGTCAGAAGCCCAGACAGAGAGGGCGTCAGAGGGAGACCGAGTGAGGAGCGAGGAGGGGCGAGATGGGTGGAGGAGAGGCAGAGCAGACTCCTGTGACTGCTGATTTGTGTGTGGAAGCCCCGACAGAAAGAAAAGGTGGAGGGAGGCTCCAAGGATGAGAACGAACCCAGCGAATTGGGAGTTGCCAAAACGAAGAAGAAGATGGTGAGTGGATGAGCGTTCCAAGGACCATTCCAAGGAATTTTTTCTGGGGTTTCAAGCGCAGTTTGTCGGGTCCGGATAATCTCAACTACCGCGTCGCAGGACGCAGCGAGCCAGTTCACAGACTAGGCATAGGCGCAGGCATTTTTCATCGAGTCCTTTGCTCAATCCTCACTCCTTTTACTGTACAATATACGCTCATCAATTAGGGAAAAAGGAGGAGTGTCAAACAACAATAATACAAGGGAGCTTGGAAACGGTCAGCTGCCCCCAACCTCCCCCGGTGCCGACAGCCACGTTTCTAGCGAGATGGTGTTTCCCCCGTCCATAAGATTTCTCCCTCCACTCCTCCACAAACCCCAGTAACACAGTGGATCTGTTCGGTAACAGAAGAATCCCCGGAAGCTGGACGAGAAGAGAATAAGGCACGCCAGGGCTGCCCTCTTTGGAGTTCGCCCCGGCCACTAAGCTGATTTTGACTGGGGGGCAATAATGGGGCTTTTCCAGGCTTTGGAATTTACGGAGTAGGCACTGCAAGCCCTACGAGCACGAGATATCCTTTGGGGCCGCTGGATTTTTTGAGACCCTCGACCAGGACGACATCTGCACTTCGGGAACGTGTAGGTACAAAGTATGGCAGTAAAATGCACGATTTGAAAAAAAAAAAAAAAAGGTACTATGATCTTCAGCAAGACCATTCCGTGATTGAGTAGCCTGCCTTTTTTGTAAGCAAGCTGCGTTCCGCACCAGCAATGATGATGAAGACTTGGGTGCTTCGCCTAGGGCGGCTGCATTCGAAAAGTAGCCAGCTCCCTCCCCTGCTTGTTCATCCATTTGCCTGCAGTGTGTTTCTTTTTCATTTCATCATGTTCTTGTCCCCCTTTCAAGACAATAAGGAAAAGCACTCAAACAGTTCTCCATAACGCCTACGCTTCGACGACGCGCCAATTTGGATTCTCTTCAAAGAGGAGTGGATTTTGAAAGGAATGAAACCGTGGCTCCACATTCGCCAATGCGTCTCACGACATGGCTTCCTCCAATCATGCCAGTACTGTTGTTGGTACAGGTGTCAAAGACGGTCTGCGCTGCGGCTGCGATCTCCAGATAGGAGACCACACATCTTCCAGGTATCCATTCCTCATTGAATGATAGGTGCATGATGCAGCTGTTGAAGGCCTGTACGTTTCCAGATCAGCATTGCTCTCTCTTTTTGCATCTTTGAGGAGACTTGGACGGTGACAGAAAGAAATGACCGACAAAGGACGAAGAGCATACAAGGACTTACCCCAATCGTGATTCCGTTGCCCTTAGCTGTGTTTGACAGTGGAACAACGTCGGCACCGCGATCAGTCACATCAGCCAAAACCTCCATGCAGTCGGTGGCGTTGACATCCTTGTGGTCATTGCACACAGCGCTATCGGACTGCGATGCCAGAGTTTTGAACTGCGACGCAAACCATATGTCCTTGTAGGCATTTGTCAGCCCCAAGCCACGGGGCAGACGAACGCCTGGCTTGTTGAAGGGGCTTTCTTGATATTTGTCCTCCAAAGGCTCGAGAGTGTCGCAGTTGAGGTAGACAAACACTGCAACGCCACGAACAACACGCGTGAACCAGTAAAACCGATCTGTGACTGTCACGGCCTGACTACAGCAAGCATTGCCTACTGTTCTCGTCGATTTGCACTCTGCCGCCGGGTTGTTGTACTTGTCCAGTTGGCCTTCGGTGTAGGTCCCACAGGTGTCACGCATGATGGGAATGAAGGTGAAATATCCACATTCATTGTGCTTGAGGTCCTTGGAATATTTGAAGCTCTCACTCTGGCCAGCCTTTTCATTGTAGCCACCAGCAACGCTAAACACACTCACGTCAGTCTTCACCATTTGGGATTACGAAGTCGGTACTAACCCAGCAGTGAAGGGTCCGGTCTTGTAATTGCCATTCAGCTTGAACTTCCAGTTGCTGCCAACATGTCTATTTTCGGTCAAGGTGCAAGAGGTTCCTGTTTTGTCCCCAACATCACAGATTATATCATCAGCTTATGAATCTCACTCGGAAAGGATGAAGTGCGAGACCATGGACTTACCGCCAGTGCACATGGGCATGACATGATAGGGTACCTCTTGGCCATAGCGGAACTCGGTCCTCATTTCGCAGAAGCTGGCGCAGTCAACCACGTTGAATGACCCTGGGTCGTCCTGACAATCACCGCTGCCCGGCTTGAGCCGAAATCGAGGTGGGCAGACGTCGGTGCCATACTCGTGGTACAACACTGGCATCGCATCGGTCCAGGTGCAAATGTTTGCTGCGCGAGCCGAGACCTTCGCAAACACCGGAGAGGAAAGGACGAGGAAGGAGACGGACAGAGCCAGAACGAATTTGGCAGACATTGTGAAGGTGTGAAAGCGCATTGTCACAGTGTCAGCGCACAATGAAGGGCTGAATGAATGAACAAAAGGTCGAGATTGAGGGAAACGAGACAGAGAGGAGAGAGAAAGATGACGGAGGAAGGACTGTTGGTATTGGTCGAAGCAGACCTTCTTGGAGTTGTAGAGCTTTCAAGATGGGATGGATGAAGAGGTTTCTCATTCCTCTGTGGAAACACGACCTTTTCACTGATATATTTTCACTGTATAGCCAAGAGCAACACCAAAACATCACAGTCGGCACTAGTCCTGGGGTCCGTAGTGACATCCAAATAGAAGAGGAAGTATAGCCGGGGAGTGTTCGACAAAGATGCCTTGTATAGAATGGCACATGGTGACAAGAAAGAAATAACTGGAGGTCAGGTGCCGACAGGTGAATTTGACCGTCGCAATGTCACGGAAACTGCAAGCTTGTTTTGGACCGCATGAGTTTCGTTGTCTCTCCCTCCACAAAACCACCTTCGTTCGTTTTCCTATTGTTGGCTCTTAATGTGATTCTCCCACAACATGAGTCTTGCGATGCATCTGGGCTAGCCAGGTCTTGCTGGTAGCGATGCGGATCTTCTTGCCAAAGAACATGAACACCAGGAGCATGAGGTTGTTAGCCATCAGGACGCCGCAGAAGACGCCGGCAATGATAGTGACGTAGCCGCTCTCGAGGATCCAGTCGAGGATCTTGAAGCCAAAGCCGAATGAGATGGCCTGTTTGCCCAGGTTCATGGCAATGAGCATCTCGGACAGATTGACCGTGTAGCTGTCAACCGCGTAGGCAAGGGTGAAAGTGAAGTAGAAGTACGCCGACCAGTTGCACATGGCCACACCCGCAAAGTAGCCGATCCAATGCAGATTATCCTGCGCCGTGTACCCATACACGATCAGGCCGGCCGGCCCAATCAGCATGGCAGGCAGGAGAACACCCAGACGCATTTCAGCTTCGCGGATCCCATTGTTCTTCTTGGTCAGATACGCAGCCAATCGGTCGGATGACGTGGTGAAGGGGATGGCGAGGATGTATCCCAGGGCATTGCCAACGGCGATCAAGCCGGAATTAGTCTATAGTTCAAGTATGTCAGTTTTCATTTTGACCCTTTCCGAGGCGATAACAGGGGTTGTCGCATGCTTACCTGACTCCAATTGTAAGGGGGGGCAACAATCTTAGCAGGGAAAGTGTAGTTGAATGCCAAAGCCCCCAGACCAATGTAGATACCATATGTCGAAACCACCCAGAACACAGATGGAACGGCGAAATATGTGAAAGACCGGGCGGCAGTCATGAAGAACGAGACATCACGGTCGTACACGCCCCACAGCTTGAGCGTAGAAACAAATGACTTCCTGTCCGGCGCAGGGCTTGAAACCTCGTGCAAGTCGGCCCCAACACCTTTCTCGATCGGAGAAGCCTCAACGGCCGCTCCGAGGATCCTCTTCATCTCCTCACGCTTGTACCAGGTTTCTTCGACAAAGAAGAAAGCCAGGATGAACAGAGCGCACGCGAAGGCGAACTCGACGTAGAAGAATAGCCGCCACGAGTAGCCTCCCGCAAGCATGTAGCCAGCATATAAAGGTCCAGTGGCACCCAGGCAGAGGCAAACGGTGTAGTAGCCCAACCTTTGGCCACGTTCGTGAAGGAAGAAAATGTCATTGACAAGCTGCACGGGCAGAGCTTCACATACTCCAGAACCAAACGCATGAATGATGCGACATGCCATTAGAGTGCCATATGAGTCGCATTGAGAGCAGCCGATCAGGCCAACAGCAAACTGAGAAGTCAGTGTTAGCGGATGATTGAGCTCTGGGTACAGACATCCCAAGCAGGATGAGCGGACTTACAAAGATAATGGAAACGAGCATGACAGGGCGTCGGCCAAATTTGAGATAGGCGGGGACCAGGAGCAAGGACCCAAAGCCAT